TGATCATTACGCAAATCCAGTTTCTTTAGCGACAATGTGATATATCTTTTGTCTGCAATGGAAAAAAGGTGAAATTATGAATGTCGCTTCACCTCTTTCTATGATTGCAAACGTTCATTGATGAAATTACGCATGAAGATAAGGAAATGTTGTTGTTTTTATCTCTATCCATCCACCCCTCTCTTTCTTTCTCTGTCTCTCTCACACACACTTGCTCTCTCAACTTGTATTACATATAATATACTCTACTGTTTAGAACTTCCTAGCACGTAGTACCCGGTTGCACTACAAAAATCATACCTCGATTTCCCAACAGGTAACGCTAAATAGATTAAATGAAATGATGCATTAAAGAAACACGTGATCGAGGATAAAAATGCTCTAATATTTGACTTTGAAATAAAAGATATGATTATGTTGTAAACCCTTGTAGAGTTATGAATAGCAATTAGCAACCATTTTATCTCTTAAGAAAGAGAAATAAATTGCTTTTAAAATGATTACACCAATTCTAAAATGTCTGCGCTTCTAATTTCTAAGCTATAAATTTTGTTGAAGTAATTAATTTGCTGTAAAAAGAAAATCGAAAAAATAATAAATTAAAAACACTCCCCGTGACTAATGATGTAAGCTCATTAGCGAACACTACCAACCACAGCGAGAGGAGATGAACCCACCTACACTGCCTTTGATTGATTGGCGGAATTATTAGTGATTCCGTGTGCGTCAACTGCTAAGGTCATTAGTCCAGTAACTGTAGTGCATTTTTCTTTGAAGATTGCCGTGATCTTCCCCCGGTGGATGATGAGATTCGGTGGTGAATTACTCTTCGGTTTGCGTTTTTTGTCCAAACAAATTATCTCTCATCAGCGAGGCACCACCACAGTCAGGACAAGCTTTATTATCCCAACATGTGTGGTAGAGTGATGCATGTGCCTATAAGTCCGTGTGAGCAAGAGGTGAGAAAAGAGAAAAGAAGAGGCAGGGCAGATTGCGCGCGGTCCGTGGCCTGTTTGTTAGGGTACTGCTCCGTCCTTCGCCAGGTATTGATCGGGGAAACTACGCAAAATTTCCGATCAGAGTAGCTGGCCGTTTATACTCTCCTCCAGACAGCAACTTGATTCAACCTAGCTGACAGGCTAGTGTGGAAAATCCTGCCACGGTTGGAACCCGAACGCTAGACGCTTCTGTCACACGCACAGCTGGGACTTCTGTTGATGCACTGAGACACCTTTGCGAGTTCTTACCACCTTTTAGCAAACATCATGTAAATAATACATTTTTCTTAAAAAAAAACAATATAGATTGATTTGAAAAGATAGCGTTTTGCAGAAGTAACATCATATTAGGTGATTAACAATTTGGACAACATTCTACAGTTTTTGATAATTTAGGTAATGCGAAAATGATTGCTATTTGATTTCATGATATATGTTAAATCAAATTTCTACCGTAAAAATTCTAATTATTTATAAACCTTGTCAGAAAATGGAGAAACTGGAAATATTCATTTGTATTTAAATGGCAAGGAAAATACTTTGTTAGGCAAAAAAATGTTTCCAACAATGATTTTTTTTAAATGATAAAAATTGAAAGAATTGTTCCAAATAAACGCCAATCGTTTATCACGCCGTGAATTAGTTTTCATATCGTCGCCAAATTATTGTAAATGGCGAATTTTATCTTATATATGAGTGAATATTATGGTTATATTCAAAAGTTTAATTCTGAAACTAGTCACAAAAAACTGTTTCAGTACAAAAACATTCTCATATCACAGAATGACGTATGAGAAACAGAAGTTCTGATACTGATAGACTGCTACGTAATGACTTTTTTCTTAATATAGTTTGAAATAAAAAAAAATTACACTCCGTTGTTGAAGTAATATTGCAATATTCTGTGCTATTGCTTCCACAGTAACGTCACTGGCCTTAATTTCAGCGTTGCTTGGTCGACAGTCATTTATCTCGTGATCATCCCTGTTTTAAAAATACTTTTTTAAGACTGTGGCTAGGGGTAAAACTCATTATGGTCTCCTTTTATTCCAGCGTGAAGCGTGAGGGTAGCCACAATTCTTTGAAAAATACGCTACACCATTAATAAATGCCACCCTCGAGGAAGAGAAAGGAAAACATGTGAGAGATGCCGCTTTCAGACGATTGCAGCTGGGATCCATGGCTGACATCCCACGCACGCAAAACACACGAGGAACCAGACGACTTGGGTCTTTCGCTTGACGGACAGCAGACCCAAGGGCCTAGTTCTTGCCGTCACCACCCGGAGCGTCGGTGTCGCAGAGCAGTCGTTACATTAGGGGTGTTGACGTGGCAACAAGAACAACGAGACAGAACCCGTTGGTGAAAGAGGCAGTGGAGGTGTTTTAGGGCTAGAAAGGGGGTCATGTTGGAATAAAGAAGAAGGAATATATTTTTGATTTTTATCATGCTTGAAGCAATTTAGATAATGTCTTATTTTAGGAACAAGACTCAGGTCCACTCTTCCGACTGACCATGAAATATTGTTATGCTCCTTTCACCCGTAGCGGAAAAAGAAGGAATTACTCGGGATCCGAAACAGACGTTTTCGAATTTATTTCAGAGTTTTCTTACATGTAGTAAATCTACATCATGGGACAGCCGGCTTTACTTCCACACCAAAGAAAAGCGTACGAACTATTTTTGTCCTTAAAATCCACAGTTTTGATCGGCTTTCATCCCGAAACCTTGGGTACAACAGCCCGAACCGTCATACCACCGAACCCACTTGTATGCGATGCTTATTACTTGACTGACTGATTAGTTATTTCGGGCGCGTTAACTGATAAGGACTTTATTCCCGTAAGTGTAAAGCATGGTTTTATCGCGGGAGATGGCGGTGATCTTTAAGGGCGAAAGAATCCTT